TGTAAGTGTGCCTTGAATAAAGTGTTGCCTTTTACATTTTTACACTAATTTATGACAGAGGCATATATTTTTTTGTTCTCCAAAGGAGGGTTCACTGAAGAACACTTTATTGATTGAACTTGATTTTTTGAATGACTTTTGTTTGATTCATACTTAAAAAATGTTTATTTTTTTATTTTTTTATTTATTTATTTTTTATATATATATATTGTATATATATATATATATATATATATATATATATAGTTATATTTTTATTTCAATATTAATAATGTTTTTTAATGATTTTATCTTCTATATATTTTTTTTTTATTTTTTCACTTTGTTTTCAGTTATATAAAGATTGTGCTATTGTTCCATGTAGCGCAGCATTTTTTCACTTCACAATATGTAGCAGAATACATTTTGGCCTAAATGTATGATGAAATCTGATTTAAAATTTTTTTTTACTGGACTTGTTTAATAGCAAAATGTCGAAAATATTTTTTTCTCAAGATTGGCGGCCTCTTTTTTATAGTGCAAAAAATAAACAATGCACAGGCGATCAAATACCACCAAAAGAAAGCTCTATTTGTGGGGGAAAAAAGGACATAACTTTCATTTGGGTGCAGTATTGCATGACCACGCAATTGTCAGTGAAAGTAACGCAACGCCGTAACGCAAACAATGGCCTGGTCAGGAAGGTGGTAAATCCTCTGGAGGGCAAATGGTTAATGTGTTCGGTTTTAAAGGGATGAGGTGGCAACCTTTTAAAGGAGATCCATCACAGGGGCGGACTGACCATTTGGAAAATTGGGCACTGCCCGAGGGCCCGGGGTCAGTAGGGGGCCCCATGAGATGCCCCTGGTACCTTTTTCATAGGCTTTTTTGAGTTTGGCCAAGGACACAGGTGCCCCATGATCCCCTATTGCACGGGGGCCCCATGAGTTGTCAGTCCGCCCCTGATCCGTCATGAACTGCGTAAAGACTGTTCAAACCTACAACCTGCAATTATAAACCATATGCCTGTACTTCAGCCGGCCACTAGGAGCGCTGTGTCTTTTCTTCCACCCTGCAGGTTTTGGACTCATCGAGTTGCCGTCGCTAGGAGGCTGTAGTTTCCAACGTTCTCTGTGGTTGTCAAGGCAACGGGAGAAAACACAAGAGGTGTGCGCGGCAACGGTGAAGTTCCACAGAATCTAGCTGCGAAGGGCGCTCGGGATCCGCTGTACCGAGGAGTCTTCACAACCTCTGTTACCGGCATGTGGAAGTCAGGTGAGAGCGGCTATGTGTATACATGTAATTCCCCCTGACACCGGCACCGCTGTGGATGCTGTCTTTTCTCTACTCACATCACTTTTTGTATGCTGGAAAGAACGCATTTACGTGAAAGTGTAACTAAATGCAAACCTTTTTTTTTTTTTAACTTTTGAATAGAGCATAGTGAGTAGAACACCTGTCTGATTTTTAATACAGCCTGTGCCCCCTTTACACATAAGGTCAGGGGGTGCAGGCAGTAAAATCAGGCTATTGAGATGCAGTTTTACCCCCAACCCCCAGTTGCCTGAACACAAACATATCACTGCCCACAGGTATACACATGCCAGGGCTGCGATGCTCTGCAAAATGTAAACAAAATGTCGCTTTCAGCAAAACGTGACTAATGCAATTCTATGGGGCTGCGCCGAACTGCCTGCAATGCGGCAGTAAGCAATTATAGGGTTAAATCAGGCCATGCAGAGGCAACAAATCGCATCCTCACTGCCTTTCAAATCTCTGAGGGCTCGTTTACACCATGGTGCAGAGATCTCAGTTTTTCTGCACACGTTCTGCATGGGCAAAGCAAAATCCATTGTTCTCTATGTGCCCTGTTCACACCACAATACTAGTATCGGGCAGCACAGTGGCTAAATGGTTAGCACTTCCGCCTGGCAGTACTAGGGTCGTTGGTTCGAATCCCAACCACGGCACCACCTGCCTGGAGTTTGCATGTTCTCCCTGTGCCTGCGTGGGTTTCCTTCAGGTACTCCGGTTTCTTCTCACACTTCAAAGACATGCTGGTAGGTTAATTAGCTCCTGTCTGAATTGGCCCTAGTATGTGTATGTATGAATGTAAGTTAGGGACCTTAGATTGTACACCCCTTGAGGGTTAGGGACTGATGTGAATGTACAATATATATGTAAAGTGCTGCGTAAATTGACGGTGCTATATAAGTACCTGAAATAAATAAATAATCATGTGCAGATTTTTTTTCTGTACAGGAATCTGCAACGTGTATAAAACTCATTGGAGCAGGCATAAAAACTGATGTGTCTGCAAGTGAAATCTGAGTGTCAGTTTCCATCAGTTTTTCTGCATGTATGGTGTGAATGAGCCCTCAGGCCTCGTTCACACCATACGTGCAGAAAAACTGACATGCAGGTTTTATACACATTACAGATTCCTGCACAGAAAAAAATCTGCAGGTGATACTAGTGTTGTGGTGAGAACAGCTGATGTTGTTGTGCCCTTGCAGAACGCATGCAGAAAAACTGACGTCTCTGCACCATGGTGTGAACAAGCCCTCATGTGCGTTTCAATGAGGTTTAGGGCTCGTTCACATCACATGTACATGTGGGTTTTCATGCACGTTGACATCAGTTTTCGTGCACATCTGTTATGCACAGATTGACATCACATCCTGTGTCATCACTCTATAGTTGAACTGGATGGACTTTTGTCTTTTTTTTTTTTCAGCCAGACTAACTATGTAACTATCACTCCCTTATCAGTGCCTCCCTCATTCGTGATCCCCACTTCAGTGACTGTCCATCACGTTCCCCTCATCAGTTCCCCCCACTATTATTGCGCCTTATCTGTCCTCCACCATTAGTGATTGCTCATCTGTTCATTGCCATTAGTGTCCCCCACCATTAGTGCCTCCTTATCTGTCCTCTGCCCATCAGTGTCCCCTCATCTGTCCCCTATCATCAGTGACCCCTCATCTGTCCCTCACCATCAGTGTCCCCCACTATTAGTGCCCCTCATCTGTCCCCCCATCATCATTAGTGATCTGTCCCCTCATCTGTCCCTCCCCCACCATCGTGCCTGTCTGCCCCCCCCTATTAGTGCCCCTTATCTGTCCTCCATCAGTGTTAGTGATTGCTCATTTGATTGCCCTTGCCATTAGTGTCCCCCACCATTAGTGCCTCCTTATCTGTCCTCTACCCTCATCTGTCCCCCATCATCAGTGACCCCTCATCTGTCCCCCATCATCAGTGTCGCTCACTATTGGTGCCCATTATCTGTCCTCCATCATTAGTGATTGCTCATCTGTCCCTTGCCATTAGTGTCCCCCACCATTAGTGCCTCCTTATCTGTCCTCTGCCCTCAATGTCACCCATCATCAGTGTCCCCCACTATTAGTGCCCCTTATCTGTCCTCTGCCACCAGTGTCCCCCACCATTAGGGACTGCTCATCTGTCCCTCACCATTAGTGTCCCCCACCATTAGTGCCTCCTTATCTGTCCTCTGCCCTCAATGTCCCCTCATCTGTCCCCCATCATCAGTGACCCCTTATCTGTCCCCCACCATCAGAGTCTTTTCATCTGTCACCGCCATCAGTGTCAGAAACTTCCACCATCACAAATCCCAGTGGCAGCATGATCCCAGATGGCATCCGTCAGGAGGGAAGGTAGGCGGGCAGCACAGACAGAGAGCACCACTCTACATTCCCTCCCACTTCCTGTTACATAGGAGGCAAGCAGACCAGTGCTTTCCATTTTGCCTGCGATTCAGTTCTAGGCTGTGAGGGAAACTGCAGACATGCTGCATAATCCCGCACAGTTCTGCACTGGACATTGCACCTTTTGGTGTGAACAAGACACATAGGAAACCATTGTTTCCTTTGTGTCTTGCAGAGACCTGCGGTTTTCTGCTGCAGAAAACCAGAGGTCTCTGCAGATGGTGTGAACGAGCCTGTAGGCCTCGTTTACACCATACATACATGGAAACTGATGCACAGATTTCACTTGCAGAGACATCAGTTTACATTAGTTTCATGCGCATTTCAATGAGTTTTATGCCTCGTTCACACCATATGTCAGTCATGTCACGCCTCGACTATTGTAACTCCCTCCTCATTGGCCTACCTCATCGCAGCCTATCCCCATTCCAGTCCATCATGAATGCTGCTGCCAGACTCATCCACCTCACTAACCGTTCTGTATCTGCCACCCCTCTCTGCCAATCCCACCACTGGCTCCCAGTTGCCCAACGGATAAAATTCAAAACACTATGACATACAAAGTCATCCACAACACTGCCCCAATTTACATAACCGATCTTATCTCTAAATATCACCCAAACCGTACACTCCACTCCACGCAGGACCTCCTACTCTCTAGCTCCCTTATCTCCTCCTCCCATGCTCGTCTCCAAGACTTCTCCAGGGCGTCACCCATCCTCTGGAACTCCCTACCCCAATCTATCAGACTGTCACCTACTCTACTTACCTTTTAGGCGATCATTAAAAACCTCTCTCTTCAGGGAAGCCTATCCTGCCCTCTGCTAATACTGGAATCCTCTCCGCTTCCAACCACTCCATCCCCCACAGTTTTACCTATTGTACCACTAGCCCCTCCCTCCTAGATTGTAAGCTCCAAGGAGCAGGGCCCTCCTATCCCTCTTGTATTGAACTGTATTGTTACTGTATTGTCTCCCTCTATAATGTAAAGCGCTGAGCAAACTGTTGGCGCTATATAAATCCTGTATAATAATAATACTGGAAGTCTGAATGAAGCTTTTCTGTTTTGGCTATGGGACAGGAAAGTGAAGGGAAATCTCCCCTAATGGGACACAGATAGCAAATTAAAAAAAAAATTGACAGGGGTTATAACCCTAAAAAAGAAAAAAAAAAACGTTTTCTTCAGTTCTACTTTAAAGACCACTGCAGCTAATGTCAACTTACTATATTTTTCAGAGATCATGCCGTAAACTGCAAGTGTGGACTCGGCATTAATAGAGAGCGGCTGACAGGATCATGGAGGAGATTCCAGTGAAAGTAGCAGTGAGGATTCGGCCTCTGCTGTCAAAAGAGATTCTTCACAACCACCAAGTGTGTGTCAGGGTTGTTCCTAATACACAGCAGATCCTAATTGGGAAAGACCGTGTCTTCACATTTGATTATGTCTTTGGAAAAGCTGCATCTCAGGATGATGTTTACAGCAACTGCATCAAACCCCTTTTAGTGTCCTTGATTGAAGGATACAACGCAACAGTGTTTGCATATGGACAGACTGGCTCTGGCAAGACTTACACAATCGGAGGTGGCCATGTTGGTATGTTATGTTAAAGATAACATTTTGACTCTTACATTGTGTTTTGTCACATAGAACCAAGCAATGTTATTTTTTTAGTATTGTTATACAGTGACAACAGCATGCACAGTGCTTTACAAAATGAAAGTGATGGTTACAATATGAAATCAATACAAGGGGCTTAGCAGGGCCCTGCTTATGAGATCTACAGTGCCTTGAAAAAGTATTCATACCCCTTGAAAGTTTCCACATTTTGTCATGTTACAGCCAATAATGTAAATGTATTTTATTGGGATTTAATGTGATAGACCAACACAAAGTGGCACATAATTGTGAAGTGGAAGGAAAATGATAAATGGTTTTCAACATTTTTTACAAATAAATATCTGAAAAGTGTGGTGTGCATTTGTATTCAGCCCCCTGAGTCAATACTTTGTAGAACCACCTTTCACTGCAATTACAGCTGCAAGTCTTTTTGGGTATGTCTCTACCAGCTTTGCACATCTAGAGAGTGACATTTTGCAAATTTTATGTTTTTTTTGCAAAATAGCTCAAGCTCTGTCAGATTGGTTGGAGAGCATCTGTGAACAGCAATTTTCAAGTCTTGCCACAGATTCTCAGTTGGATTTAGGTCTGGACTTTGACTGGGCCATTCTAACACATGAATACGCTTTGATCTAAACCATTCCATTGTAGCTCTGGCTCTATGTTTAGGGTTGTTGTCCTGCTGGAATGTGAACTTCATCTCCAGTCTCACGTCTTTTGAAGACTGTAACAGGTTTTCTTCTAAGATTGTCCTGTATTTGGCTCCATCCTTCTTCCCTTCAACGTTGACCAGCTTCCCTATCTCTGCTGCAGAACAGCATCCCTACAACATGATGCTGCCACCACCATATTTCACGGTGGGGGGGATGGTGTGTTCAGGGTGATGTGCAGTGTTAGTTTTCCACTACACAGCATATTGCTTTTAGGCCAAAAAAATTAATTTTGGTCTTATCTGACCAGAACACTTTCTTCCACGTGTTTGCTGTGTCCCCCACGTGGCTTCTCGCAAACTGCAAATGGGACTTCTTATGGCTTTCTTTCAACAATTGCTTTCTTCTTGCTACTCTTCCATAAAGGCCAGATTTGTGGAGTGCACGACTAATCGTTGTCCTGTGGACAGATTCTCCCACCTGAGCTGTATATCTCTGCACTTCCTCCAGAGTTACTATGGGCCTCTTGGCTGCTTCTCTGATTAATGCTCTCCTTGCCTGTCAGTTTAGGTAGACAACCATGTCTTGGTAGGTTTGCAGTTGTGCCATTTTCATTTTCAGATGATGGGTTGAACAGTGCTTCGTGAGATGTTCAAAGTTTGGGATATTTTTTTATAACCTAACCCTGCTTTAAACGTCTCCACAACTTTATCCCTGACCTGCCTGGTGTTCCATGGCCTTCATAATGCTGTTTGTTCACTAATGTTCTCTAACAAACCTCTGAGAGCTTCACAGAACCACTGTACTTATACTGAGATTAAATTACACAAAGGTGGACTCTGTTTACTAATTAGGTGACTTCTGAAGGCAATTGGTTCCACTAGATTTTAGTTAGAGGTATACATGGTTGTAACATGACAAAGAAAATTTACCCTCCTTCCTGACCAGGCCATATTTTGCGTTACGGCGCTGCGTTATTTTAACTGGCAATTGTGTGGTCATGCAACGCTGTACCCAAATGATATTTATGTCCTTTTTTTTCCCCACAAATAGAGCTTTCCTTTGGTGGTATTTGAGCACCTCTGCGATTTTACTTTTTGCTCTATAGACAAAAAAAGACTAACAATTTAAAAAAAAAAAAAATTTTATTTTCTGCTAAAAACCCATCCAATAAAAAATTTTTTTAAAAATCAAATTTCTTTATAAATTTAGGCCAAAATGTATTCTGCTACATATTTTGGGTAAAACAAATCCCAATAATTGATTATTTGCGCAAAAGTTATAGCATCTACAGTACAAACTATGGTAGATATACTGGAATTTTATTTATTTATTTTATACTTGTAATGGCGGTGATCAGTGACTTATAGTGGGACTGCGATTATTGCGGCGGACATTTTTACACTTTGTAGGAACATAGATACAGCTTTGTTATTCGTTCCTGACCGACGATCTGCAGGTGCAGCTGTTCACCAGGGCTTTTCGATCTGTTTGTGCTTTCCTCCAGCGGCATGCGTGCACCCCCCCCGCGTGGTGGAAGTGCAAAATCACATATATACATGTGATTTTGTACAGAAGTGCTGCCCTGTATTAGTAAAACTGCTATAAGAGTGGATGTTAAATGGTTAATATTTGCCACTTTAGACAAGCCTCTCACAGCTGTATGCTATACAACAGTGCCCACCTCTTTTGTATTGGGATTTGCCAGTTATTTCTTTTCACCTTAACTGTCAGTTTGCCATTATTTTAGATCCAAAAGGAGAAGTGTGGGAATAGAAAAAACAAACTTCCAATACTGCAGCTGTCTTCAGTCAGCTCTAAACTTGACAACTGAGCAATCACATGACTGCTGATCACTCAGTTCTTAGTCCGCTTGAAGCTCAGAGCAGGGACTGTCAGTCACCAGCTCTTTACTCTGCCCCTCCACTGGGCTGGGGAGGGGAAAGGAGTGACTGGCTCAGGCTCTCATCAGCATGCTGAGAGGCTCAGCAAGATGCCAGTTTGGCATCTGCGTGGATCCTGACAATTTTGTTGGGATACTTCCAGAGCCTGGAGTGGTTCTGTGACTTTGGCTGATTCTGGGTCACAGGAGAACACAAGTAAGTGCACTTCAGACACAGCGGATCACTTATTGGGGTACAGGGCCAATCAAAATTGGTCCTTTACCATGTGATCGTTCTGACCAATTACAGTGATTACACTTGTAAACAAAGGCTTCATGATGATGCCTTTTGACCTGTTTCCTCTCACAGGGCACTGTAATAAACACTTGAAGAGTAAAAAAACAAAAAACAAAAACACGATCATATCCCCCTGAGCAGTGCTGTCACTATGGTGACATTGTACTGCTCTGTTTGTCTATCACTACAGCAGAATATTGTCATCAGATCAGTGCAGCCAGTCACCGTGCCACCATAATAGTTTAGCCAGTTACAATGTCCCTGATCACCAGTCCCAGTGTCCCTAATTACCACCACACCAAGTCATAGTGTCTCCAGACCTGTGCATCCATCATGTTCCTGTGAGACACCAGTCCCAGCCATCCGCTGCAGATAGCTGGACATCTGGAACCACAGGAACCCTTGTTCTTCCTTTCTTCAGCCTCTTGTACTTTCTGGCCAGTGAACATGGCATTCCTGTGAATAGCCACGTGCCACTACGCTAGACTTGCTTGGCTTAAAGGAACAGGGACTGCTATAGGTGACTGCAAAAATCTATAATCCCTGACCACTCCTAGAGAGGTGACCTTTACAGTACACTGTTATTGATAAAATTGGTTGGTTTTTGTGATACACAAGATACAATGAGTGGTACATAGTCAGTCCAAACATTGAAATAGTCTCACACCTGTGGTATCCCCTTACTAAGAATCCCAACCCAAAACACATTATGCTACTCCTTCTAAAGTATGCCCATGCTGTGTGTGGGAAATATCCTTCTGAATTGAAAATTTTGTGTAAAATAAATAAATACATTTCAATTTCTTTCCACATTTTTCAAAATGTTGCAAAATAATAAAGTCTTCAAAAGACTCACAACGCCTCTTAACAGGTAGTTGACTCTCCAAAATATGGTCCTTTTTTTGGGTGTTCGTATTTTCCTGGTGCTCCAGGTTATACATAACTGTGATTAGATAGGCAGAAAATTGGAGGCATACTTTTATGCTCCTTGAAAGCCTAAAGGTGTTCCTTTAAATTTTGTGCTCCTCTGTGGCTAGACTGTGAAATATGTGGTATCCCATACTTGGGAGGAGTAGCAGAATGTGTTTTAGGGTGTATTTCTAACTCTGTCCATACTATGTGTTAGGAATATCTTACTAATTGACAACTTTCTGTAGTAAAAAAAAATTATAATATTAATCATAATAATTTCCTTTTTATTTATTTTCCAAAAATATGTGGCAATAAATTAAATCTTCCAAAGACTTGCCTTGCCTCTTAAAAAATACTTTTGGGCATTTGCTTTCCAAAATGTGGTCATTTTATGGATGCTTCCACTGTCCGGGTGCTCCAGGGCCTCCAAAATGTGATAAGTGGTCTCGACATGCGTAATTTATGCCCTTTGGAAGCCTGAAGGTGATCCTTGGATTTTGGGCTCCTCTATGCAGTTGGACTACTAAAAAGTCTCAAACCTATGGTATCACCATAGTCCGGAGGAGTAGCAGAATGTGTCATGGGGTGTAATTCTAACTATGCCTATGCTCTGTGGTAGAAATTAATTTACAACTTTGTGTAAAAAAACAAACAAAAAAAACCCCACATTTTCATTTTTCTTCTTACATTTTCAAAAGCTTGTGGCAGAAAATGAAATTTTCAGAAGACTTATCGTACCACTTAAAAAATACCTTTACTTTCCAAAATGTGGTCCTTTTGTGGGTGTTTCTATTGAATTGGCACTCCGGGGCCTCCAAACACATGATTGGTAGTAAGGATATTAGATGCTTAATTTATTCCCCTTGATAGCTTGAAGGTGTGCCTTGGATTTTGGACCCCATTGTGCGGCTAGGCAGCAAAAGAGAATCATGTATGTGGTATCCCTATACTCAGACGGAATAGCAGAATGAGTTTTGGGGTGTAATTCCAAGTATGCCCATGCTGTATGTATGATATATCAGCTGTGTGTAGAAAATTTATTTATTTATTTTTTTTTTCTTCATATTCCAATAAATCAAAAATGTGATTTTTAAAAGACTCACCATGCCTGTTAAATATGTTTGATTGGGTCATTTTGTGGGGGGTTCCCCTGTCCTGTCCTGGCACTTCAGGGCCTTAAGAAATGTGATAGGTAGTCAAGAAATTCGTATACATTATTTATGCCTCTTGAAAGCTTGCAGGTGC